TAGAAAGTTACTGACCTATGAATAATGCTGATAGTGTGTGGTCTTCCTAATGGCATATCAAAATGCACATCAGTTTAAATTTGGCTGTCTGAAGCGAACACATGTCGAGGCTATAATTGGTCCGTCTACTAGTCAGTATCCAAGGTGATAAGCGTTATATGGAGTAAGGCATTTTCAAAATTTTCAACCGATGTGAATTATCGGCGAATAATCTTTCTTCTTACTAGGAATGACAGAAGCAGGGAAGTGAGGTTTACGGATCTCCTTGCTTATTTTTCGTAAACGAGGATTTACGAACCTGAAGAACGACAAACGAATGATATCTAATGGGTTGGGTGAGGAAGTGATGAGAAATTATCCCCGTTCCATCACTTCAGTGGTCTTTTTCTCGATCCTTCTGAGTTAAAGCACTACCCATACTTATTACTGTGTTAAGTAATTCTTTTGAACGATCAGTGAACAGTGACACACGCTACATCGCACAGTGAATCATCAACATCAACATATCGTTGAATGCTATTCCAATAACCAGAATTCAAGCCGTGTCTTTCTTGATTCGCCTAGATGAGAAGGGTAAAGAGGTGAATATCACTGCTGGCATAGATCCAAAAAACTGCGTACTGTAATGGCAGACAAAATTCGCCTCTTAGAGCATAAATTCAAGGACAATTAACTAATGCCATCGAAACTGCTTTCCGTAAATGGTGCCACAAATTACGCATTATAAAAATATAAGGGCGGTCGCCATCGCGACGGTTTCAGATGTTTCTTTGGTTCTTGTTGTTCCTGCGTTGGACGCGTTCCTAGCGATGCGACCAAGGTTTATTTCTGTCCATTTCTTGATATCACCACTGCCGTACCGTGCACCAAGCGTTTCCCATCAGAGTCACGCTATCATGTCTTAACCTTGAGGAAAAGTGGTGGCAATTTGCTGAGAAACAGAGCCATATCTCCTTATAAGATTCAGCATACTATCGCTGGTACTTCTCCCGAATCGTGATCTATCGTAAATGGTAGAAGGATCATTTCGACGCATTACAGTACGTCTGAGGAGCATCGTCGATATCAAAGATAGTAATTGAGGAGGAAGGAGGATTTGGGCATTGTTTTGCAGGCCAATCCGCTTCCATCTTCTATTATCCGGTTCACGCCTCTCATCGTTTCACTTTTTGTGGCCATTCGAAACCACGCGGCATCACAATTCGATTTCGCGTTTTGAGTTCTTTGCAGGCCAGCGACAATGGCGATTCTTTACCAAGATCTAAGCCGGCAATGAAAAATCTGTTAGCATCGTACTTAAAGAAACAATCAATTACTGAAACGCAGCCTATAATTTTTTTCGGTCTTTATTTTAGTAACGGCCACAATCTCACTTGTCTGTAACTTTCGTTAGTCTGCTCGTTAACCGAGCTGAACCTCATTAGTGGTCTGAGAACGACGC